ACTTACATCTAGAAATTGACAATAAGGGTCGGTTGAAAAACAAAACTTTACGACAAAAGAGATGATTTCAGCTTCCATATTGTCAACTTTTCATTTTTATGTAGCAACATTCCAGTAGCGTCTGCATATGGAGTATATATCTCCCAGTTAATACGATATTCCCGGGCTTGTTTTTCCTATCATGATTTCCTTGGTAGAGGATTGTTCATCACAAGGAAGCTATTAAACCAAGATTTCCAAGTGGTGAAGTTGAAATCATTCCTTCGTAAGTTTTACGGACGCCATCACAAGTTGGTTGACCGCGCAGGTAGGTTAATGCCGGATTTTATTAACTTTCTAGGCATCCCCCCCTTTTTTATTTATTTTTTATTTTGAAAGAAAATTAACTGATTCCAGAATTGTTTATGTGGTACACACTGGTGATACGTCTACCAAGAAAATATTTTTTGCTTTCACACGTGGTGTCTAAGTCGTCACGTGATTTTACGATTTGACTAATTTCCCATATGATTTAGCCTGTAGAACAAGTTCCCATACTAAAAATGTCGACATGAAATTTCAATGTATGGTAAAAGATACCTTTTACTCCATAAAAACTGCTGATCGCTCACTGATAAATGTTTCCCTTTATTTTAACAACATTAAAACCAGGAATTCACGTCCGTTGTTGTCAGTTTTATCATAAAAAATACCTTTATTTTCAATTTAACCAAAAATTTATACAAGCGTTCAGCAATTTTCAATAAGCTGACTAATTCTTCTATAAACAACTCAAAGGATTTGAAATAATATTGCCGTTGGTAACTTGTTCTACTCGTTTGTTTGTTGTCCGCATATACCGTCTGAAATGACGCCCATTGCATAAACGCTTTACTGATCGCGGAAGGGAGGTAATCGAGGTAAAACATTCCAAAATTGCGTTTACGGGAATTTCAAAAATGAAAGATAAAATCATGCGTGCGCTGTTGTTTCTGATTATATCATGCACGCATATTTAGAAAATCACGCATATATGGCAATCAATAACATTCGTTAATTATTAAAAAATACCATGCCATTAAATAATTACGTTTTGAAAAAAAGGGAGTGGGTGTTTCATCTTCAATATTTCACACACAATGTGAGCAGTCTTTCTTGAATATACAATTTAAGGGATTTGTATGGGTTATGCATAGTTTTAAATTTGTGTCATACTGTTGAGATACCATTCTGATGTGTTTTATAGTTTAAAATGACAAAAAGTATTAAAGTCTATATGTAGAAGGTGCTGATCAATTCCTTTCTTACTGACTTAAAAAAAGAAGCTATTTCAAGGGTCCTCAATTATCAATTTCCTGGTGAAGTCTTAAAATTTATAACAATAATAATAAATATTGTGCACATTATGAATGAATTTCCTTGTTAAAACCCAGTCATTCTACAAATGAAGGGTTAATAGTCATTATAATACATGATATTTCTCTCTTAAAATGTGTAAGTTGACCTCAAGAAATCAAATCTGCTGTGTGAAATATGTACCATTCATTATCCCCTGTAACTGCTGAATAAGAGACAGTGGTAAAGCCCAGAAAATATTAAAAATTTTATTTCTTTAACTGCTGAATCCATTTGTCCAAGTTTAAAACTTACTTAACTTCTAACACTAAATAAAAAAAGTACATCAAGTACTTGTAGTTAGCCCAAAAATTTAAGAAGGATGATAAAAGAAAACAAATAGCATACAATATTAAAGAGAATTTCTAAAACATTTATTTATCTTTATATACATGTACATAAATGTGTACTTGGTGGCCTTCGGCTGTTGTCTGCTCTATGGTGGGGTTGTTGTCTCTTTGACACATTCCCCATTTCCATTCACAATTTTATTTCACTAAAAACTTGCATGTTTCATAATACTATTCATTGTATTATGATGTTTATGTATCTTGCCAGACAAGGGTAAATAAATGATGTCTATACAATGGTTTGTAATAAAGCTTTTGATTTTTCAATTCATAATAAAGTATAAATGAATGGTAAAAAAGTAAATGTCTATTTAAATGTTTTATAAAGATGTCTGTCATGAATCTTCATATATTTCTGATCTAAATAATGCCTCACACTTTATTTTGAAAATATCAAATCCTGCTACACTAATTTTTTTCATTCAATAAATCCAAATCACATTCAAACCTTTAAAATGTCTCTGTCTTACATGTTCCAGAATCAAATTAGTTGTTGGTTCCTTGTTTGATATCCATTTTTTGTAATACTAAACAGTGTTTGCCTTCAATGTTTTTCAACTGGTTTATTTTAAATTCACCTTTTTGTATGCCACAAATCAGCTTTACACATAGTTATTTAAAGCTATCAGTCTGTTTTGACATCTTAGTAATAAATGTCAAAAATAGTCATAAACATTTCATTTCTCACAGATTTTAAATCATCACAATATTATAACATGTTTTATCTGACAATTTCCTTTTGTATGTAAATCCCCACAAGAAACAAGTACACAGTATTTTCCTCTGATTATATTTTTATTTCTCTGTCTTCTATGTTCCAGAAACACTATTGTTCAACTTATTGATATGCATTTGTTGTCATACTGAAAATTGCATTATTCCTCAATTTTCCTTTAATTCACATGTAACATGTCATATATTATCTTATACACAGCTCAGTAATCAGTCTTCTTTGATATATATTAAAAACTAATTCTCACATATATATTTTCTATCATTTCTCTTTTCATGCATAGATCCAGAATCATCTATGTAGAATTTATATGATACACAATTTCCTTTTGCTGCATTTTCAAAATAAAGGAAGTGCAGTCTCTTTCTCTCTCAATTTCATTGTGTGGTATAATACCATTGCTTACAAGTCACCAAAGTGCTGAAAATAGAATTGTAAACAATATTTGGATAAAATATACTTGATATATGAGGGTGTGGAGTTTACAGAATAGAGAATAATGGACCAAAACATTTATAATAAGAATAGAGAATAATGAGGTGCTAAAATATAAAGAATAGAGAATAATGGGCAAAATGTATAAAGATTAGAGAAAAATGGCCTAAAAAATTAAAGAATACAGAAATGAAGGACCCCCATCCAGACCCTCATATATGATCTGATACAAAATAGTAAGTTTAATTCTATCTTCCTATAAAGTAGCATAACAGTTAACTTGGATGTAACCTTTTAGTTAAAAATACATTTCCAAATTAAAAAATTTCTTTAAAATAACAATGTATATTATATAGTTTAAACTACATAATACTAAAAATGATACTTTCTGAGACATAATCACTGATTAACCAATATGCTTATTTATATTACTTCATCTGCACTGACTGAATGAAACTGAGGGAAGCATAACAGTTATGTACACACAAAACAATATAATAATATCAATGCTTACATTTTGGAGACCTCTTGTTTGGCATTGTGGAAACTATGTTTTCTCTGGGTATTAGAAATTTCATTCTAATGTATAGTGATAATCTTTCTACAAAAGAGGAAGATAACTTTACCATCATAACTGGAATATTTCAAGCCCATAACACTCCAAATAGTTGAAAAGTGTCTTTTGATAAACAAAAGTGTCCTCCTAATCTGTACTAGACATCATAGTTACAACAGACAGAACTCATGTCAATTTTGATAGTTAATCAATATAATAATAATATGTTTATATCACTTTTTAAAGTGCAATAAATCAATAAATCAAATTTGCTCTATGTATGAACACAAAAAGTGATGAAATAAAATGTTAATATGAGATTTTAAAACATGAATGAAATTAATATTGTGTTTGAAAAATGGTCACATCATACTAAATAATTATAAAAGCTAGTTATTTTTATATATCAAATTCCTACTAATTACTCTTATAATGATAATTTACTAAATTTAGACAAGCTATTGGCATGACTGCACACACTGTGCCATGATGCAGTTAAAAAATGCATATTTTTTACTACCTCTCTTTTTCTTTCTTTGACCCCCTTCTTTGTGTTTGTAATATGTAAATGATTATACAAATCAAATACCTAAGAGAAAATGGGACATAATCATGATGCTTAAAGAGTAATTTGAAGATGTATGCTCAAAATATATGGAAGTGTTTTCCTCCATAATAATATGATCTAATATGACCATGGCATGTCAGTCTGACAGCACTTTTTCATAAGCACCCACATTATTTTAACACTAGTAAAGTAATTTTGACTTGCCTCAAATTATACTTTCTATAAACACTGCCTTTCGTCCTTGCCGTTTTTTAAATAGCCAGAAAAACGCCAAATGTGAAAATTAACACCCCTTTTTAAAGAAAGGTTCATTTTGATCTAGATGTATAATCTTCCTTCAATGAAATGAAATATACGGCCTTTGGCAGTAAAAGAATATGATAATTTGAAACAAACTTACCTCAAAATAATAGCAATATCCATCTTTGAAACGTGTGTTTACGTGATAAGACACTCATGACAAGGTGCCCGATCAGCTGATGATCACGAAGTATGACGTGATGTGCAAGCCCAACCTTGACGTTGATGGAACGATCTAGCCAATCAGATTCCGCGTAGTTTGGTAAATGACGTTAGATTTAGATTTCGATGCAAACACCGATATTCAGTGACAGTTTATTTTTTAAAGTACATTAACCTACCTGCGCGTTTATGGAATATCCGTTTCACAAATTATAGCGGATATGTTCATAATGTCGCAACTTCAATCCCGTGCCCATTTTCCCGAATGTGGAATTCAAAACAGCATTACAGACACGTGCATAGCGAACGAGCTGTGATATGTAAACATCATAAGAATGAACATCACCGTCCAAAACAGGAGAATTTTTACTTAGTTCTTGTCATAGTAGTTGATAACGAGTGTCTTTATTGTTGTAATAGCTCAAGTCAAAAGAAGAATTTAAATATGTATAGCTGACCATTATGTTTGATGCAAAATAATATTTTCTTTTTATAAAATATAACAAATGCATCACTGTGACAAATGATATTCGTCGAACTGGATATTATAATGTATAACAGGTTTTTGTGAAAGCTTATATTGATTGAAAGGTACTGTTTTTAATTAATGGAAAACGAAATTGATTTATCTCTCTGAACTCATTTAAAATGTACTGAACCATTGATAATGAAAAAAACATTTAGTTTAAAATTTAATTAAAAACAAATTGAAATTTCTCGTTTAATGAAGCATGTTTAAAAAAGAAGCGGATTGTAATTAGATACATTCTACTGACCAGTTATGAAGCATTGCAATAATGAAAGAATATATCATATTGATAATTTTTCAGTACTTTGAAGGTAAGTTGCAATTGTTTTATTAAAACGCTTAAAGACAACACTTATCTGATGAACACATTGTATACTAGTTTTATGGTTTATGAAGAAGATCTGTTTTGATCTGTGTCAACTCATTGGATATGAATCAAAATATATGCAGATACATATGTATTACAACAAATATAACTTCATATTAAACCAGCACACATAGAGTTTAACAATATTTGATCAGCATAGTGAACCGAAAATATACTCAGCTGGGCATTCCATCAAATTTTGACGCCAATAGAAACCTGTTTAAATATCATACATTAATATGTAATAATCATATGCATGGAACCATATACTAAATCCCGCTTTAAGTAAATATATAATGCTACTCTTTTAAATATTTGTCATGGTTTCAAACTTTTCCTTAGTCTGAAACACATTTGGCTGAAACGGTGACTAAATATTTTTTTATCAAATCACTTCTTAATAAAATACATACATCTCAAATACATTTCTGACAGAGTACGAACACATTCCTATTATTAACCAACACGGGAACCAACTGTGCCCCCCTTCTTGCCGATTTGTTCTTTTATTCATATGAGGCTGACTTCATACAGGACTTATCACCGGGTGTGTACCTACATGAGCAACACGAAGGGTGCCACATGTGGAGCAGGATCTGCTTACTCCTCCGGAGCACCTGAGATCACCCCTAGTTGTTGGTTGGGTTCGTGTTACTCAGTCTATAGTTTTGTATGTTATGTTTTGTACTGCTGTTTTTCTTTTTTAGCCATGACGTTGTCAGTTTTATTTTCGCCTCTCTATTAAATGATATGATCATTTTTCATTGCATTTTATTTAGCAAAATAAATCATGATTGATATTTTTTTTTATTTGAGTAGCGAACATCCTGAATTCTTTTCAACATAAACTGTTATATTCAGAAATTTCAATTATTTATGCTCTGAATAATGCCAGATGTAATAACCTTTTCTTCTTTATGAAGTTGGCCTTAGTTTTAAATGAATTTCGAGCATGGTCTTATATAATATACGTTTTAATCATTCATGTCGCATTTTTATTCTCTACGGACTCACCACATTTATGTAAGGTTTTATCTCTTGTTTTTATTCTCTTAACTGTTTTCGTCCCTTGAAATCATCATTCATTATACATAACCAAAAGTCAGGAATCAAATTGATGTTTTTGGTGTCATAACCTTTTTACGGATTTAGAAGTTTCCTATCTTTAGTCGAATTTGTTGATCCATTTACATCCTTTTTATACTCAAAGTCCTTATTGTGTAAGGTGACCGAGTGGTCTAAGTTGTCGAACTACTGTATCACTAGCCAGTCAACTCTGAGTTCGAATCCTGCACGTGGCAGGAACACTCGACTCCAATCTCAATTGACCAGAATTTTCAGTTTTCCTACCGAAAGTCCGGGCACTCCGGCTTCATCCACCAATAACAACTGACCGCCACAAAATAGAACAATAGTGTTGAAAGTGGCGTTAAACACCAATCAATCAATACGTTGAAGTATCCTTGTTTACTGTACATGTTCCTAACATTTATAAATTTGTAAATGATATGATTAAGGAGATAATTGATATGATTAAGGAGATAATCTATATAACGTTGACGAGTGCTCATATCAAATACATGAAAAAACAGAATCACAATTTTACTATATATTCTTCATTGTTCTTCATAGCCGTTCAATAAAAATCTATCAGGTGACAGTGATAGAATGTGAATTGAATAAACATCTATTTTTTCATTTGTTATATAGATATGTCTGCATCTTTAGTTAGTGAAATATTGGTTCATACACCAAATACAGGGAATGGTGTGTATTGGGTTCCTAATGCTCCTGAACTCAGTCACCCTTTGAACCAGTATGGATATGACGCCTCACAAAACTATACAATAAGCTTTGACCTCAAAGTTTGCAGTGATGCATTTGTATATTTATCCGCCTCTCCCATAATGGATAAAAATGCAGCATTGTATGAAATTTGTATAGGAGGAGGTGGAGGGAAAAAGGTTTTTTTGCGCCGAAAGGATGCTACATTTGAAAATGTTGCCAGTAACGTGCTTGGAGACGGAAGCACACAATGTGGATCATTTCAACCATTTTGGATTTCATGGCAAAATGGAAATATTAAGATAGGCAAAGGGTTGTCTATAGACAACGAAGTAGTGATTGATTGGAATGATCCCAATCCTTTCATTATCTATGGTATAGGTGTGAGAACAGGCGTTGGACAATCAGGACAATGGACTATTCATATGGAAGGTAAATATGCATTAATAACCTCACATGAATAAGTAACTTTGGTTGAAATCTATGGTAACGTTTTGTACGATGTGTCTGTGTCTGAACTAACTAACGACATTTTTACCACGTCTTAGATGGTGGTATACCATCTACGTCGTCTGGTCTGCTAAGTACCGAATATGACCTATTCCTTAATATGACTGTTTTGGCGTGTGTGAATTCGCATTGCTATTAGACATGTCTGTTGGATACTGTGTTATCTCTTATCGTTTGTGGTTTGAATTCTATTTTTATTTTTATTTTCTATACTTATATAAAAGTTAAGATAATTAATCAGCTAGTTCATTTATATGATTTTTAGTTTAAAGCAGCTATATACACAGGATTTATTTGTTTTACACAGTTTTGATTTCGAAGAAAAACCGACATGGTTAGAAAAAACAAATAATTACACAATTACTAACAAAATTCTACTGTTGCCTTTATTTGATGTCAGTCATTTATTGTTTATTCTATATTATTATCATAGTGTTATTAAATGGACGTTTTATATTGATCCAGTAGTATGTCCAAGTATACTCGTATTGGTTCGAGGTTTGCTGTATTGATTCTAGTTGTACCGAATTTAGAGAGTGATATATAATTTTCATTGACCTATGACGAAACAAACATCAGTATTGAAATGGTCGTTATTGCATGAACACTGAACAAACAAAAATGCATTACAGGAATGCCGAGCTCCAAAGTAAATTGAAAAAGGGCTAAAATATCACAATTTCTGTACCTGTCATTATATAAACCTCTTAAAAAAATCCGAACATTTATGAAAAATTTGGATTTATTTTTACCTATGTTCCATGAATTAACATATTTTTGTGGTTTACCAATATACACGTAATGCTAGATAATTGGTATCAAAGAGTTTAACAAAAATTACGAACTTCAAGGTAAATTCAAAAAGGGAAGTCCATAAAACTGAAATATCAAACGTTGTAAAAGAAAAAAAAAACCGGAACGAGTGAAAAAAACAATTGTCATATCCCTGACTTGGTACAGGCATTGACCAAAGAAATGGTGGGTTCAACAAGATTGTATAGCTAGCTAAACCTCCCACTTGTATGATAGTTGTTTATAGTTCCGTTGAATTGACGCAATTGGATGAGCAATACAAACAGACATAATAGGCTAATATAAAAATAATTGTGACCAAGCCACCAAAACTGTGTAAAACATACATCACAGACCTACAACACAACTGCCTAAAAATTTCAAAAACATTTTAATAAATCTAACAGAGACGCAAACAACACGTTGCTGTAGTTGATAGTAAAATCAAGAAAGACGCCAACACAAAAGTACAAATTAAGTGAAATATAAATACTATGAAACAGAGTGAAATTAACACTTTAAAATTTCCTGCATTCAAAAAGAAAAATTACAAAAGTACTGAACTCTAAGAAAAATTCAAAAACGAAAGTCCCTAATCAAATGGCAAAATCAAAAGCTCAAACACATCAAACTAATGAATAACAACTGTCACACCTCAAAACCAACTTGCACCAGGAAAGTAAAAAGATTGCGAGTTGCGTAAATACCGAAAAATAGAAATAAGACATATAGCACAAAGACAAATAAAGAGAAAATTGTAAAGTAGATAAAAAGATACACAACTTCAACACCTAGAATCAATAAGTCGAGACCATCTTGTATCATTTGTGAAGTCAACACTGAATATTTGTCTATATGGTCTTGGTACTTTCCGCTGAGCTTTTTGAGAAAAAAGACGAGAAGTTCTTTGACAAAACCCTGGTTTGTTAATTTTTGCTGAGACACCGATGACGTTTTATAAATCTGAGTAACAACTGAAAGCTCTTGAAAATTATATGAATTGAGAAATGTATACTCCATGCTCGGTCGAATTTGGTATATTGCTGCTAAGGTGAGGAAAATTTACAATTTCAAAATTGCAATCGTCCCTTCTGTCATAGAATCTGGTACTGAAACGACCGTTGTTGTCTAGAAATGAGGCGGAGGAAGCTGTATTTGTGGTTTTCTTAATCTCTAGCTGAGAGGGGATATATAAGTGGAACCTTAACAGAAAGTTTGGATTGTTAATGGAAAGAATATCATTAATAAACCTGTATGTGAAATTAAATGATCAAGCTTCTTTGATGTTCTTATTTTAACTAGGGTCTGAAGGCACTCCGACTCATATGAAAATTAGAAAAGGTCGGCCGTAAGGGGTACACAGATGGTTCCCATAGGAATGCCGACAACCAGCAGGAAAATTCTACCTCCAAATAAAACAGATATATAGTCAATGAAAAACTCTAGCATACTTATCACTTGTTTTTCGGTGTAGCAAGTTATATTTTGGGGCCCATTTTTAACAAAATATGAAGAATTATGTTCCAAAAACAATACATTTATAACGTATAATACCATTTTATGGAGGAATGCATTGTAGACTATTCATTTAGGCCGGATTTTTTTTTTTCATGTGGTATGGAGGTTTAAAGGGTGGAAAAATCTATTTTTATTGTCCGTTGAGCAATAATTGCAAAAAAATAGTGTTCGTTTAAAGGTGCACTTGCTGCATTTACATGATACTATAAACGATGTTTTAATTAAATTAGAATCTTAATTACACTAAATAAAAATTCAACGTTGCAAATAAGTGGAAACTATTAAATAAAAGTTTCCATTAGAGACGTAAAATATATGAAATACTTAAACATTTACCTTAAAGTTATCTGTTCTATTATTTCAGCTCTTGGTTACTTTTGTTTACACACAGAAACCCGGGGTACAATGGAACTGGTCAAGACCACTTTAGCGACGGAATATATTTGTACTTACTTATGCCACGGAATCCATAACTGCATGGGATTCAATTTCAATGTACATTCAAGTGTATGTGAATTGATATCGACTGGAGAACCACTGCTAACAGTAACGGAGTCAGGTTGGACATTTGGTACAAAATGTTTCCAGGGGAAATGTTATGCTTGTATATAGTACAATGCTGATGACGTGTTTCGTTTTGCATAACTTATTACTTTTTATTTTTGGCCATGGCGTTGTCAGTTTGTTTTCGATCTATGAGTTTGACTGTCCCTCTGGTATCTTTCGTCCCTCTTTTATTGGTTCTATTAAAATATATCTTTCATAGTGTAGAATTGTAATAGATTTATATATTGGATAATGGATGTATCTGGTTATTAACAAACCTTTTCATAACACGTATGCCAATTATAAATCACATTGTAAAGAAATCCGTTGTGTAAAAATAACTTGTTTATGATTATTACTATATAGAATTGCCTATGATTTATTATCTACCTACCTTTACCAATGACTGTATCTATTTTCATATGTGACAGTATTTTGAATAGACATGATTTACTCGTTCTGTATCTAGTGGTAACCACTAAATGCACATCCAGTAGTAAGAATATACCTTTGAAGACGTTTTTCATGTTAAAAAGTACAATAGATTGAAGTCAGAGAAATGGAATAAGAGATAATATTGCTGTTTTTTTGTGTTTCAATTTATATACGCATATTAACGATATTCGAATATTACAATTTGAAAATGATTTAGAAATTAATTGTAGAATTTATAATAAAATATATGAACATTGAGGTTATTCATTATATTTATATACGAGAATTTCAACGAAGAATAATCCCGAGAAAAGTGTATGGAGTCGGATGTTTATTTCCGGTTATGTTATGCAGTTCATGTATAGTGTTGACTAGCGATAAAAATTGTAACATAACACGTGTTTTTATTGAAAGAAGATACAAGTATTTTGATTAAATCAATAATAAATATATCGAATATCAGTGATAATTTACTTTTTAAAATTGATTAAAACTGTTCATGGAAAATAACTGCAAATTGTTAATTACCGTGTCATAGTTTGGTTTACTGGTGATTAAAAATCAATAGGATTAAGTACGGGGATATTGCCCGTAGGTAATATTGTTTATGACAGGAACATTTATTTTCACACCTTTTACTTATATGACTGTTTATTATATCGTGATTAGGGAAATGAGCTTTCAATCATAGAGTTTTGAATGTCTTATAAAATTCCGACAAGAATTTATAAATTGTAAAACAAAAAAATAGTTAGTTGTCTCTGTCCATTATTGTAATAGAAGTTTTCAATGAACACTTTAACCTAGAATGACCAAGCGAGGATTTTGACAATTCAAAACTTTTTCAATGAATTCGTTTTATTATTGATCAAACTAAGGAGGTTATATGATCTCCTAAATCAAACAGAAACCCACGAATTACGAATCTGAATTTATGTTTTTTTGTGATCAGCGATCCACGAATTTACGTATACCACGAAACGTCTTTTTTTTTCTCTATCCACGAAAATTGATACCCACGAAAATTAATGAATCCACAGTATACATACTGGAAATGTGTTGAGATGAATTAACCTGTACATTTATTTTGGGACACCATCTTTGAAAGTTTTTGCAATAACGTTTATCAACCGGTTGAAAGTATTCCAATGGACTCTAGTTCCATCCCTTTAATAGCAGACTTGTTCCTGTATTGTTATGAATCACCACAGTTTATAGCCAAAATCAGTATATATCCGTCTTTATTTCATTGAATGGAAAAATAATCACTAATCGTTACCTTGGATATTTTTTTGCTTAAACGAATGAACTAACTTTTGATAAATATAATATTAACAACAATGGATGTCGCTTTTAAGGTATAAAATTCCTGTTTTATAAGGGAACTATATAGTCAAACCCACAAGAGAAGAGATGATTGCTCGTTCCCTATTGTTGATTTCCTTTTTTGGACTATGACTTTCCTTTGGCTCCTGCTTATTCTGGGTATGTTTTCAAACTCGTTCGCTCTGCCTGCGTCTGTATTGATGTTTTTAATTCCAATGAACGTAATCATGAATTACCTATAAATTATTAAGTCAGGAATTTCGTAGCCCTAATTTACCTAAAACCTTCATTAACTTTTTTTTGTTGACGCAAGAATTTTGTTTGGACATTTGACTTGGTTTCTGAAGGAATCGGATAACAAACGGGATTTCTTTTACAATGATGTTGATTGCATGATTTATGGGCATTTTCAATCTATATGTTTATTATTCCTTAAGTTATTAATTAAGCATTGTAGTAAGATCTTAAAAATGTCTTTGTCGATACTAACATTGATTTGATTCTTAAAGATCAATACATAACTAATCATGACTGTGTTGTTATCCAATTATTTCTTATAGGCCAACGTTCAGTCGATTCTTAAATTTTTGCATTGCACAATGTCTTTTTTTTTTACTTTGTTTCGATCTACAGTGTCAAGCCCGTTCCAACTGATATATTTTTTTGTTTGTTAATGTTGTGCTGTTACAACACCATTGTTCCAAGTTAGTAGAGGAATGAGCAATCACAAACATTTTAATCCCCGCTTAATTCATCATGTGCATATAATAAGCCAAAAATACTGATATCCAGTTTTGGTTTTGGTTGGCATCTGTCATATTGTGTTTTGTTCATTACTGTAGAAATGGCTTTAAATTTTGTATGATTTATTGGAGGCTATACGGTGATATATTAGTTATTTTCCTATTTGGCATTTTGAATTGATGAATAATTGCCTCATCAGCTATCACACTGCGTCTCCTGATTTTAATATTAACGACATAGCATTTCCAGTTGACATGAGGAATAGTTATTCCTAATAAAAACTTACAACAAAACAACATTTATTGTAAGTACGGCTAGTGAGTTAATATTTAAATAAATTTTAATATTCGCTTTTGAACACATTATGTTTCTATATTTTTCACATTAAATGCGTATTCTTTGCAAATTGCCATTGTATCAACATGATAAAAAGGATCAAAGCATTCATTTCGTTGTTGAAGAGAACTTTCAATTAATCAAATTCTCTCACAATAAATTCAGCTATGCAAACAAGGCATGATTCTTTGTTTAAACAAAACAGTGGTAACCATGCGATTTACGTTTTTTTTTCTTCAGATTTGATGTTTACCGTTACAATATTGAAATAACATTTTAAAACCTAGAATCAATTCTAGCTAATTATGGTACTATCTTTGATTAAAAAAAAACGTTTTTTTTCTAATTGATTTCTTAGCAATATTTGTTTTAGCTTATAGTGCATCATCAAATTTTTGAGGGATGTTTTTTACTCCACGGGTCACTTTTTATGATAATACCGCTGAAGTTATTATGATGATTTTGCTATGTTTTCGTGTATTATTTGTTAACAGATTATAGTTTAAATACGGCAATTTTGATGTATGAAATCAATATTGTCGTCTTTAATACTAACTTTTTACTGCATTAAATACGCAAATAAGAGACCAGAAAACAAGGCTAAGACATTTAAATTTTAATATTGGCAAACAGTTTGGTTGATAGTTATCCTGTCTGTAACAAGAAGTGGTCCTTGAAAATCTGTCATTTTGCTCTTCCTTATTTATCCCTCACACTTTTTTTTTTATATAAATTGGCTATTGTTATTGAAAAATGCACCAATTCAAATACATTTGCTTCATCTTTTTTTTTGGATTTTGTAAAGCGTGTTTTATGTCAAAACTTTTATGCAACAATTATTGCTTGAAAAAATCCAGAAGTGAAAACTCTTGAGATAAAAATGTATTCAGAAAAAACAAAAAAGGCCGCACGGTGGACCACTTCAAAATACTGATGGATTCAGTCAAGGATTATGCCAGGCAATGGGCTAAACGCGAGAAAGAAGACGTAGATACTCTTTCCGAATGTATTACGTTTTTTAGGTCGTTGATACAAATCAGAAACGAGAAACTAAATGGGTCTATCAATACCCAACCAAAGATGAAGAGCTGGACCTTCCATCACTGTATTGGATACCTAAACTACAAGTGACCTTACAAACAACGGTATATTGCTGGGTCTTCCAAGTTCTCCACGAAACCTCTTTCTAAATTATTAACATCTATTTTATCAGCAATCAAAGCCTGGCCTCAAAGTTATTGTGAAACTGCCTATTCGAGAGGTGGCGTTAATCAGACGTGGATACTAAAAAATTCCAAAGATCTTTAAGAGTACATACAATCTAAGACACTCTCATCTTGCAAAAGTATTAACACATTTGACTTTTCTACACTTTACACAAGTATTCCCCATTCCAAATTAAAAGGCAAATTGAAAAAATTTGTATTGCTTTCTTTCATAAAAAAGAATGGCGGACGTAGATACAAGTATCTTGTCTTGGAGAGGGATAAATCCTACTTTGTAAAGAATCACTCTGATTCAAACAAAAAATTCTCTGAAACTAACATTATCAAGATTCTTGATTTCTTGATTGACAACATATTTGTTACGTTTGGAGGACGTGTTTTTCAACAGACTGTCGGCATTCAAATGGGAACCAATTGTGCCCCTCTTCTTGCCGACTTGTTTCTTTATAACTATGAGGCTGACTTCGTAGGAGGAAAGATAAGAAGTTAGCAATATCCTTCAACTTTACGTTCCGCTATATAGATGATGTTCTCTCACTAAATAATTCAACAATTGGTGACTATGTTGAACGAATCTATCCCATCGAACTAGAGATGAAGGATACTACAGATACAGTTAAGTCTGCCTCATATCTTGACTTACATCTAGAAATTGACAATGACGGTTGGTTGAAAACAAAAATTTACGACAAAAGAGATGATTTCAGCTTCCCAATTGTGAACTTTCCATTTCTATGTAGCAACATTCCAGCAGCGCCTGCATACGGAGTATATATCTCCCAGTTGATTTAATCTATCTCCTCAGATTAATTTTAGAGAACAACATTTTTGATTTTAATGGACAGCTTTATAAGGAAAAAATAGGCGCAGCGATAGGAGCAGTGCCAAGCCCGGAAATCTGTGATATACTCATGTATAAAATTATGAAAGAAATTTTTTCTAAGTTTGAACATAGAAAAAATATCTTTTTCTATGGAAGGTATCGTGATGATATTATATTAATATATCACGGCGACTGGAAGGAAATAAAGGATATATGATAGCAAG